TGTATTGTAGAGGTCTTTATGTGTAAATCCAATATTATGATAACCTCCTGCCTACTGCGTTAAATAGTTCATTACTTGCGAAGTGCCAACACCGACCTCTTTCAATGTTGTTGCCTCATAGATACCATCCTTACTTACAACTCTATTAGAACGCATAAATGGTGTCATAGCAGGTGTGCACAATGCATACAATGCATGATTATGTTTCTGATAAGACTTACTTACACCCACTGATTGTTTGTATTTGTTATTGAAACTACGACTCAAGCCTTGTATCTCGTTCTTGTGAGTGGCGTATGAGCACGTTGACGATCAACAATATTAACTTTGGATACTTAAAAACCTTCTTTGGAACAACAAAATTCTTGGTTCTTCACATTCCCTTCCATAACAAGCCTTGTTGTTCCCCGACGTGCACTAAAACTATGTTCCCGTACGAATCCCTTGTAAAAGTACCAAGCTTGATCACATGAAGAGAAGAGCTGACCAACCAATCTGTCATATTCATCAACAATATGTACTTCATGGCATTCCTCGTTTGGCTTAACATTATTTGATGCAGTATGATCCATATGGCAAAAATTTGGTTGTGCAAGTTTAGTGGTCCCAACAGGAGTTGATGGAGAGGGAAGTAAAGGTTCATAGAACAACATGTTTCAGTGGTGCTTTCAATAGGATAGGGTAGTTGAAGGGTGGGTACAACATTAATTTCGTAGGATATATTTAGGTATGTACAATAACTACAAAATTCAACTTTTATTACTTTAAAGTAATAGGTAAATTTACAATGTAAGTGGTAAAAATACACTTTTTAATGACAAAATTAGTAAACATAATTAAAAGTATCGATCCCAAAAACATCGAAACCTATAATTATAATGTAATAGGTAAATTTACAGTGTAAGAGGTATAAATATATCGGTTTAATTAAAAAATAGATCAACATAATGTATCGATACATTTTAAATTTGTGTCGATATTTTTTGTCCAGAATGAATGCCCAACGAGATGCACACATAAAGTGTCGATACATTTAAAATTGTATCGATCCTAAAAACATCGCAATCAATAATTATAATGTAATAGGTAAATTTACAATGTAACCGGTAAAAATATACCAGTTTTGTGAGAAAATAGGTCAATATAATGTATCGACACTTTTTAAATTTGTGTCAATACTTTTGGTCCAGAATGAATGCCTAAACAAGGTGCACACATAAAGTGTCGATACATTTTTTTAAAAGTATCGACCCCAAAAACATCGAAACCGATCATTATAATGTAATAGGTAAATTTACAATGTAATCGGTAGAAATATACCGATTAATTAGAAAATAGGTAAACATAATGTATGGACACTTTTTAAATTTGTGTCGATACTTGTTGTCCATAATGAATCCCCAAACGAGGTGCACGCATAAAGTGTCGATACATTTATTAAAAGTATCGATCCCAAAAACATCAAAACATATAATTATAATGTAATACGTAAATTTACAATGTAACCGGTAGAAATATACCGATTTAATTAGAAAATAGGTAATCATAATGTATAGACACTTTAAATTTGTTTCGATACTTTTTGTCCTAAATGAATGCCCAAACGAGGTGCACGTATAAAGTATCGATACATTTAAAATTGTATCGATCCTAAAAAACATCGAAACCGATAATTATACTGTAATAAGTAAATTTACAATATAACCGGTAGAAATATATTGGTTTAATTAGAAAATAGGTCAACATAATGTATCGACACTTGTTAAATTTGTGTCGATACTTTTGGTCCAGAATGAATGCCCAACGAGGTGCACGCATAAAGTGTCGATATATTTAAAATTGTATCGATCCCAAAAACATCAAAACCAATAATTATAATGTAATAAGTAAATTTACAATGTAACCAGTAGAAATATATCGGTTTAATAAAAAAATAGGTCAACATAATGTATCGACACTTGTTAAATTTCTGTCGATACTTTTTTAAAATTACTCTTGTTTTTTCCATCAATATTTATATGTTAAAACCGATACAAACCCCAAACAAAAAACCTAAACCTAAAGGCAGAAGAGAACTCGTCCACTCTGACAAATACCAGTGTTCATAATAGTTATGATCAGATCTTCAGGTAAATTTAGTGATATTTTTCTATAAATTAGGGTTTGAGATTTCCAAATTGGACTCTTTTTTCCTTAATGTGTTCGAAAGGCATGTTGTCGAAACCCTAATTTTTTAGAATTTAGTCTTTGAAAATAGGGGTTGGATTTTAAAGTTTGTTGTTTTCAACCTATTATAGGTTGAAAGTTCAATATTTGTTCGCGAAGATGATGGCCTTCAAATGGATCCCTAACGTATCAACATTGATATCCATCGAAAGCAACCAGTAAGTATCAATGTATTCATGTATTGTTGGAATGGTAATTGAATTAAAGTATTTAAAAACTTTTAATTGATTAGAAATTTCAAATCTCTACAGTCTGACTGAATGCCAAAAGATAAAGGAAGCTCATAATCATGTTGACTGCATAGCCAATAAAACCCCTTGCATGATCCAAATGGTAAGCTAGGAATTGGTAAGACAAGTTTCTTTTGAGGGTTTAGGGACTGAATCCCTCCAACGTAAGGAGTGCATGATTGAACATTACATAATAGTTGTATTCAGTTCTTGAAGAATTGTTCTTCATGTATATAAGGATAGTTGTAATAATATTCGTTCACATTTCGGGACCAAATAGTTAGATGCATGCAGTACCCTATATCCGCAAGGCAGAGCACAAGAAATCTTCCACTTAAAGATTTACCAACAGCGGTAGCTTCTGCTCTGCATGATGACCGAACATAGATTCAACTTTGCAATTATGCCTATACTGTTGAAGAGAACCTGCTGAATGATAGGATTTGCACACAACTGAAAGTTTTTATAGGAAATCCTGAGATCTCTGTTGCATAATTTAGTTAGTAGTTGGGTTAGGGTTTAAAATTCTCCCAGTTGTATGCAATCTATAATTCATAGGTTTCTTCAGCATGATAGGCATAATTGCAAAGTTGATTTAGGTCGGTCATCATGCAGAGCAGAAGCTACCGCTCTTGGTAAATCTTTAAGTGGCAGATTTCTTGTGCTCTTCCTAGCTTACCATTTGGACCCCTGAGTTTTATTGGCTATGCAGTTAACATGATTAACCTGGATAATCCCAATTACAAAACTGATTCCGGCCATGATTTGCGGGAGACTCTATTCTACAGATTGTTTGGCAAGGTTAAAGTATACTCCAAGTACCGGTTAAAAGTAAGCAATTTCTACATTGACACCCCATTGACGATTTCCTTTGCTTTACATCTTTCAAGTGCATTGTATATGTATTTGTGTAAATCCAACATTTTGATAACCCTTTTTGAGATTTGTATAAGTAATAGTTAAATTTACAAGGTACACGGTAAAATTATACCGTATAATGATAATATCATAAACTTTTATATATGTATCAATACTTTGTTATCTCAATATTTTAATTTCATATGAAGGCTATTACTTTTAAGTAATATTATACACGGGAGGCTCAAACGCACGCAAAATGTATGTATATATATATATATATATATATATATTCCATACTTATAATTCCGAACCTATTACTTTTTAGTAATAAGTTAATTGACAATGAAAACGGTTAAATTCATTCGATATCATGAAAATATAAGTAAACAATGTACAAGGTTCTAAGGCTCCATCAACTTTAACCACACACATATTATATATTCCATACTTATAATTTCAAAATCTATTACTACCAAGTAATAGATTAATTTTCAATGAAAATGGTTAAAGTCATTCGGTATCATTATAATATGCGTAAACAATTACCATGTTGATAAAACTTGATAACAAATCAAGTGATTAATCGGTTATGTTATCGTGGGATTCCTAATGGCTCCATCAATTTAAATTTTGTTAACATTTATTCCTAAGGTAAGTTTATCATAACTGATAATAAATTAAGTAAGTAATTACCTATTTTGTTATCTTCGGATTTCTACGGCCCCATCAGCTTTAATAATGCGCAACCTATTATGTACATAAGCGCTACTTAATATGTTATTATGCTTGATGTTTCCAGTAATTAACCGGTTATGTTATCCTTGGTAACATTTTAGGCGTTTACCTAATATGTTATTATGCTTGATAATGTTTCCAGTAATTAACCGGTTATGTTATCCTTGGTAACATTTTAGGCGTTTACCTAATATGTTGTAATAACAAATTAAGTAAATAACCTATTTTATTATATAAGCGCTACCTAAAATGTTATTGTGCTTGATAATATTAACGGTAATTAACCGGTTATGTTATCATTGGTAACATTTTATGCATTTACCTAATATGTTGTAATAACAAATTAAGTAATTAACCTATTTTATTATATAAGCGCTACCTATTACGTTATATAAGCGCTACCTGATATGTTATTGTGCTTGATAATATTAACGGTAATTAACCGGTTATGTTATCGGCTATATTTTTTTACCTCATTTTAAACAGGCCGATAACATAACCGGTTATTACCTTTTTTATTACCAACTCAATTAATATTTTGGTTAAATGATATAACATAATCGGCATCAATTTTAACTGATCACTTATTTAACCAGTCACGTCGTTTTTAGCTGTTTTTTAAGCGCTGAATTGCTGAACTTCCCAATTCAGGGAAAAAACTTTATTTTGGATCATCAGCTTCAATCTTAAGAACCAAGTATGAAACCCTATTTCGATCTATGGCTTCTCATGTGAGTGTAAATATTTCAGTGGATTGAGCATTTCAAACTCTAAACCCAGGTTTTTTATTTTCAATATTATTCTGTTCCACTTATGCCGTTTCATGTTTTTTTCACAGTTTAATATTCATTCATATTGTTGATTAAACTGAGATTACTACCAGTAGTGTTCTTTTTGTGGGTTATCAGTTGATATTCGTTGTTTAATTTTTGCAGACAAAAGCTAGAGATGGAAGTTAAGTATCCAATAGCTGCAATAAAAGTTCAGAAGGCAACCCGTGAAAAACTGAGGGACATATTGAATGAGCAGTTTCTTGAGTTGGGAAACACGCTTGGTAATTTATGACAGATTCATCGATTGTTTATTGCTGATAATTAATTATATGACATTGGGTTTGTAAATGTTACTAGGAAAACTCAGCATTTACAGTTGCTTAGAGGTTTTCATTGAGTTAGAGTAGAAACTACTGAACTCCGAAAACTCGGCCTTTCCGGCAGCTAAGAGGTTTTCATTGGGTTGGCAGAGTAACAACTGAACCAATGCAATGACATTTGATTATTGATTGATGCTCGTCTGATGCATTCGATTATTGTATATCGGTTGTGTGAATGCAAGCAGTTCAAGGTCGAGTTCAGAATATATACTTAACTTGGCTTACTTGAAAGCTGGTGGTAAATTTCCTGTAATTTGTTTCATGTTTTGATCACATAGCCTAAAAGTATTGCTTAAACTCTCACATGCTTTTCCATTTTTTTTCCTAATTGTATTTAATATATTTGGTGGCCTAAGGATGGCTTTTCCTAGAAACATTTAGCACAGTGAGTTGGGACCTTGATTGCAGCTTCTATTTCGTCTTTCGTCTGATCTAAAACAACATATATTCCATCTTTGTTTCAAAACTTTGGTTTCATTATAATTGGATTGATGTATTTACTCTTGCTTTCAATAAAGTTGTTCTGTTAGCTTGAATCAGACCTTGAAATTTCTGATCCTGCTTGTTCCTAATGCACTTGTTCTGGTATTGCAGGCCCGAATAGGCCTAAGAATGATAAAGCAACCATACTTGCAGATACGATCCAAATGCTTAAGGATTTAACTGCAGAAGTCAACAGGCTAAAGGCTGAGAATTCAGCACTAAATGAAGAATCGTGCGAGCTGACACAGGAAAAGAATGAACTGAGAGAAGAAAAGTCTTCTCTGAAAGCCGATATTGAAAACCTAACTGTTCAGTATCAGCAGGGATGTATGGTCATGTTCCCATGGACTGGTATGGATCCTTCAGGTGTCATGGCTCCACCTTATCCATATCCAGTACCTCTGCCTGTTGCTACGGGCCCAATTGCAATACACCACCCCTCATTGCAACCATATCCATTTTTAGGAAATCATAGTCACGGTGTGATTGCCAATCCCTGCTCAACATTCATGCCATATTCAACCAGCAGCAGTCCAGTTGAACAGCCATCATCCCAACGTACATATTCTTCCCACACTTCTAGCGAAAGGAATTTTGAAAGCAAATCGGTGGACTACAAAAGAGGAAGTAATAGAGATAGATGTGATGGCTCCAACAACTTCGTGACGGAACTTGAACTGCAAATACTTGGATCATCGACAAATGAGATTATTTTATCATCATCTTATAACCCATGTTACAAATTGCCGGGTGCTGAAAATTAATGTAATTGAATGTCATATGCAAGCTTTGTCGGCAGGAAAAAAGAAAGGCAAGGAAGCATAAAAGGAGAGAAGTATGGTGAGCGGTACCTCATTGAGCCGTTATTCTTCGTCTCGAGATGTAATACCCCAAATATCGGGTCAGTGACTATAGTGTAAGGATTTAAAAATTTGGTGGGTTAATTTGAATAAATTGAATAGTACAAGGATTTAATTAGGAAATTGTGTTTAAGACTAATTATTAAGAATGGAAGGATGGAGGGGCAATTTGGTCTTTTAGAAGAAATGAATTTAATATTCATTTTATTTGAGATATTTATTAAGGGTTGAATAGTAGAAAAAGGGAAAGAAAGCTCAAAATAACTTGGTTCTCTTTTTCTTCTTCTTCTCGTCGTCCCCGTGCCCTCTATAGCTAAAGGTAAGATTCATTCATGTTGGTTTTTCCTTTCGTTTATAGGTTGGTTTTAAAGCCTTAAGTGATATAGAAGCTTAAGGAAAGCTTAAGAGTGAATAAAACTAGAGATTAGTGATTTATTAGAGATTTAATAAAATGAGTTTTTAAGTGATTTGATGAAATAGAGTCAGTTATTGGAGTTTAAAGGCATATTTGACTTGTCAAAGAAGTAAATAAGAGATTTGGACCCTTAGAAGTGATTAAAAACATGTTTGGAATTTGGGTGTGATTCTTAGTTTTGAGTCTTCTTTGGAGATTTTGGATGTTATAAGGAGATTTATGGATGTAAGTTAGTTTGGATAAGTGATAATAAGATTAATAGTATGATTGGAGAAAAGTGTAAGAGATTTAGGTTGAATTTCTGTAAAATTCGAAGTAAAAGAGGTAAAATCTAGGTAAGGGTATCAGTATTGAAAAAACAATACTGATACTATAAGGCTAATTTGGAGGATTCAGATGACCAGTATTGATTCCGAGTTAAAGAAGTATTGATACTGAGATATAGGTATCGATACTAAGAGGAAGATATCGATACTGTAATCAGAAATGAAGTTCCAGAATGCTAAAATGGTATCGATATCGAAGTGGGTATCGATACCATAGAAGAGAAGTATTGATACCATAGGAGGGGTATCGATACTATTGAGTCTGAAATGTTAAGTTACAGTGAATCTTTAACAGAATTCGAAATTTATAGTGTCTTTAAGTATTATTACTTTGGATAAATGTTAGTAAGTATACTAACATCATATTTGAATGTGTTATTATGGATGCTTGTATATATTGTAATCAAGCTCTTGTGTCTACAGACCAAAGGCAAGAATAAAGTCACCGAATAGTCGAACTATATTTGGGCGTAATAGTGAGGCAAACCATGTGAGTGCTTTTATTATCTACTTATATGTTATGATAGTCATAGATACATTTTTCTTTAATGTATATGTTACATTTTACAATATCGACACCATGTGTGCAACCCATAGAATTCATAATGAGTTTATGAATAACCTTATCGGCACTATGTGTGCAACCCATGGAATTCATAATGACTTATGAATGACCGTATCGGCACTTAGGTGCAAATTTATGTACTATGCATTCTTATTCAACATATATTGGGAAAATAAAAGAAAATTTTAGATAAATATTGATTGATAAGTATGTTGGGCATACTAAATATGGTTTTGAAGGTTTTGGGAAAGAAACTTGGTTTACCAAACCAACTTTATGTATTATTATTATTTATACGTGCAATTTGATATTTTATGATATATTTATATTTTCATTTCACCTCATTGTTATTGTGCCTCACTAAGTATATATTTAGCGTGTGATTGATTTTCACATGTAGGTAAAAGTCAGGATTATAAGTAAGGAGTACAGAGCAACTCCAAACATCAAAGAATATAATACAATATCAGTAAGACATCCTATGATGAAATTTTGACTCAGTTTAGTGGCATGTGCTTATGAAAGTACTATTAGCTCTATTTAACTATTTTGGAAAACTAGTTTGTAACAGATTAACTGAATCATTTATGCTAATTTTAAATATGGATAATATGAACAAGTATTACAAATTTGAATAGACGTGTTTAATACATATATAATTGAAGAATGCCTTACAAACTATATTATCAAATTGGTTGATCTAAAGAATCAAAATTTTCTGGTTTGAAAATGCCGAAATTGTTTCAAAAGTCATGTGATATCTATGACTCTTGTACGAAAACGTGTACGGGAAATGGGTGTTACATTTATTGGTAACAGAGCTACATGTTTAGCCGTTTGTGGACATGAAATTAGTATTAATTTTGTTAAGAATGTATACATGTCACTAGGATGTTAAAATTTTACTGATAGTTGTATATATATATATTGTGATGATGCTTATTAAGGAGTAAAGTTACTCTTTACTAATATAAGATGATTTTGATTGTGTTTAGATGTCAGAAACTAAAGATAAAGATAAGAAAGTCGATAATGTTGAAAAGAAGGTTGATATTGAATTCGACCCAAAAAATCTGACATAACTTCAGTATCATGCCTTTGAATGGTAGAAGCTGCTAGGGATTTTCCTCCATTTTGTGGAAGAAATGCCCCAACGTTTAACGATGTTTCTATATTTGAGGAATCCATTAAAAAATTTGAATGAATTACAAGAGAAATTAAATCGGATGAAGATCCAGAGGAGATTTCTGAATCTAGTGATGACACTGAGGTTTCTTCAAGTAACCTTAAATAATTGAGAAATATTTAAGTTAAGTATTAAATAGTTTAAAGTATTATTAAGTTGAGTAAGAGGAAATGAGGGAGCAGTAAATACGTTGTCTACCAAAAGTTTAAAGAAATCTGAGTTATTAATGACTCAAATGATTATGAGTTTGTATGAGAATATATGTTAAGTTTTAGGGATTGGATAGAGTTACCTTTTGAAGGTAAATTTGCGAAAGTGGATTGTCTACCTATTTCATGCTACAATGAATTAATGCTGAGATTGAGGTTGACTCGTGAGGACTTGAAAAGTGTCAAGTTCGTAATGATAGAAAAAGAGTAAAATTGTTTACTAGTGTAATTTTAGCATTAACTGCTATGAAGTTATTGCTACGAAGTTGTCAAGTCTTCTTATTAAATGATGTGGATATTTAGCCTTTCATAGTTGAGAGGGAAAATGTTTTAACTGCTCGAGAATATTTTCAATGGATCCGGAAAAGTTACACGGATTACCTCCAGAGAGAAATAAGAAGTTTTATAATAAATGTATTCTATTCAACTTGATCTCAAGTGATATGATAGTGGTAAACCCTATAGGTCATAGTGTAAGGGTGAGTTTGATATGTAGTAAATATCTGATAAAGATTCAAGGGGCTATGTTCCCTGTGAATCTGAGGGAATTATCATTTGACAAGTTTGAGATCATAATGGGTATGGATTGGTGTCTCGCCTTATGGTTGGGTTGTTGTCTTAAGAAGCAATTATTTCATAAAGATACAGAGGATTTGGAAATTTTAATTATTTGAGGAAAATCAAAATCATCGCCCAATGTGATATCATCAATTATTGTGAAGAAATGATGTTAGAAAGATGTATAGTTTTCTGATGAATTTCATGGGTTACCTCCAGATCGAGAGGTGGAATTCAAGATTGATGGTTATTAGGGTATTGAGCATGTTTCTATGGGTTTATATCGAATGGAATTGATCGAGTTAAGAGAACTAGAGGCTCAATTACAAGAGCTGATTGCTCAAGGTTTCATCAGACCTAGTGTTTCACCTTGGGGAATATTTGTGTTATTGGCTAAAAGAAGTTGAATCTATGTAGTTATGAATAGTTTAACGACAGTCAAAGGAGGTAACAATAAAAATAACAAGTATCCTCTTCCGATGATTGTTGATATGTTTGATCAAAAAAAGGCACAACAATGTTCTCTAAGATAGACCTTCGATCAGGATACCACCAATTAATGATTAGGAGGGGGATATTCCAAAGACAACTTTTCAGACTTGGTATGGACATTACGAGTTGTGGATATGCCATTTGGTTTTAATAATTTTCTTGTAACATTTATGGATTTGATGAAAAAAGTATTTCAATCTTATTTGGATAAATTTGTGATGGTATTTATTGGTGATATTTTGTTGTATTCAAAGTTGAGAGAGGAACATGATGCTCATCTTTGTATCGTTCTTCAGATTATTCAAGAGAAGAAGTGTATGCCAAACTATTCAAATCTGAACTCTGGTCAGCTTTAAGAAAATATGTGTGCTTATGCAAAAAGGTAAAGTTATGGCCTATGCCTTGATAAAGTTAAAGACTAATAGGAGGAATTATCTTACGCATGATTTAGAGTTGGTGGCAATCGAGTTTGCTTTAAAGATTTGATGCCATTATATGTATGGTGAGCGGTGCTATGATTATACAAATCACAAGAGCCTAAAGTATTTGTTGACCCAACAAGAGCTGAACCTCATACATAAAAGATGGATAGAGATTTTAAAGGATTATGATGTGATCATTGATTATCACCCAGGGAAGGTATATGTTATTACAGATATAGTTAGTCGGAAAACCTTTTCAATTTTGCAAGCTATGGATGTGCGATTAGTGGTGAAAGAAATGGAACTGTTGGTTGGATTAAAGATAAAGCCGATATTTTTAGTCTGGATAAAAGAATTACAAAGGAAAGACGAAAACTTCTTCGTAAAAATTGCACAAATAGAAAATGATGAGGTTAAGGATATTTAAGGTCAGGTTTGATGGATGTTTATATTATTGTGGGAGATTTTGTATTTTCGACGATAAAGATCTAAATATGGATATTATTTTTGGGGCATTAAGTCAGTTGACTATGCATTCAGGTGGAAACAAGATGTACCAAGTTTTAAAGAGTCGGTTTGGTGGTCTGGTTTGAAAAGAGCCATCATGGAAATTGTGGCAAAGTGTCTGACGTACCAATGGAGGAAAGCTAAATGTCAAGTATCTTCCAGATTGTTTCAATAGATCTCGATTCATGAATGTAAAGGGGAAACAAGTCACTGTGGGTTTTGTTATAAGGCTACCTTTGACACCTGACAAGAAAACTAATATGGGTGTTTGTTGATAGATTTACCATGTTAGCTCACTTCATTTTGGTACTAACATATTATTTTATGGAAAATATG